TAAGAGCGAAAGTTCGATCTGATCCCATATTCGTAAAATTTTTGGGATACACTTCGATAAATCGATTCTTAAGATGGTTTGTAACTAAAAATCTCTTTCCTGGAACAATGCTGTTTTGATTAAATTCCTTTTGCACAATTCCTGAGATATCTTCATTTGCAAGGGATTGTATAAATTGTAGATTTTCGGTGTATTTATTTCGAATTTCACAATTAAGTAATTCAGGTAAACATCCTCCATTGAATTGGCAGAGTATTTTGATTAGCGGTGTAATCTTTATTCTATTTGAATTTATCGATAATTGCTCTAACATTCCTGTAGTGAGTTCTTAATTTTTAATATTAATTTGCGTAATAAATTTTGTTTACCTAAATTGTCTGCCATTTTGATCAAATCTGTATTAAGGAACCAAATCTTAAATTATCTGTTAATTGGATTAATTTAATTATTCAATTAATTGGATTAATCAATAAGTATATTTGGATTATAACATTTAATTTAAGAAAAATGTTTAATTAAAATTTATTCAGGATATATCGGATCAATAAGTGGATCGCCTCTGTATCCATAAGGATAACAATCAAAATTATCATCAACTATTCCTTTGTCGTAGATTGGAGCATATCGTCTGAATTTTGGAATTTATAATAATTAAAAAATCAATTACCTTTTCTGAGATTTGCTTGTAACTTCACCTCTACTCCAACTCGGTTGAAAATGCGTTCTTTCAAGAATGACAGGTTCCTGTTCCTCTCCATACGCTTCAACCATTTTCTAAATATTTTTTGAATTTAGAAAACGATTAAAAAATAACCTTGAATTGTTTAAAGTCTAAAGGGGAGTCAACTTTGTCCCAGCAACCGCGACATTTCACAATCAATTTAATTTCACCTGTATTTCTGTGCTTCATTTTCATGGCATACTGGAAAATATACGATTGTTAAAAAATATTTGTATACCTGCTTGCATCCCCCAGTATAAAATGCAATGATATTCCATTCCTCATACTCGCGATCCATCATCCCAAGCATTTCGCCAACACGAAAAGGAGGCATTTGTCCACGTCGATGCAGATAAAAACAACTATCCGTGTCAGTGTAAAGTAGCTTGCAATCTTTTTCTTTTACTATTCTTTCCATATAGTCATATAACATTATTCTGGCAGTTGCAGTTGTAATTAATGCTATTGCAATATTATATTTGTCGTGTGGTCTTACAAATTCACTTCGATGCTTGTATGGAACCGAAAAAAGATTTGGCGCCAACATTTCTACAGCTCCAAGTTCAAGTTTTGGATCATTGAGAATGGTATGAAGTTCGACAGGTGAGCTAGTTATACAATCCTAAAAAATTTCAGCGACAAATTTAAAGCAAAAAATACCTGAGATAAATTACACCTCAGTGCCCAACGACCCCACCTAATTTTTTAAATATTACAACAAATTTGGAATTTTCTCACATTGAATTGTTGCATGTTTTTGCAAGGTAACGCATCCCCTCGTTTCTTTCAATTCGTGAAGGATCTAAATGTATTCCATATTCTCTCTGGTTTTTTTCAATAAATTGTCTTTTCCGCTGATCCTCGATCTCATGATTGCCAGGCACTAGTACACTACCTGGCCATCCACTTGCCTGTATTGTCTTTTATTGAGTCATAAAAATAATTTTCACCTCTATTTTCAGACGCATCATATCCTGAACATAAGGACGTAATAGTTTGTCTGACCATTGTTCCCAATGATAAATGCTGTATACTTTTGTTACGCGGTATCCCTTCCTCAAAGCAAGTTCTAGTTCAACTGAACAAGTTGTACTAACAAATCCTCGTTCATCATCTTTGTGTGGACACCATCCATGACCAAGTTCTTTGCTATACTTACGGTTTGCACGTATCGCTAACCCAGGCGATGCTTCCACGGCACAACTACGGCAGAGATGGAAGATCTGTTTATTAATGGATGAAAATTTTTAGAAAAATATTTACCAATTTTCCATGAATATTTTCAGGAATTACTGGAAGATATAAATCATCTGGAGGAATTATGAAAATCTTGAACAGCCCTCTATATGGATACAAATCTTCAGGTTCTATCCAATTCACGTCTTTATTTAACTCCAAAACTTTTGGATGTCCTTATCAAAATAAAAATGAATTTTATATTTAAAGTTTACCAATAGGATAAAATGCATAAAAGTTGACTGCAGGATAAAGACTGACAACATCAAAACATGAGATCTCATAAGCTTTCTCAAAAGTGTCTTCTAGATCACATTTAAGCGAAAGCGGCCCTGTTCTTCCCCCCTTAATTTAAAATTTAATAATGAATTGAACAAATCATACATGGAAAGCATCCCTAGGGTAAAGAGGGCCAATGTTTGGCAATTTATCGAAGAACTGAGACATTTCAGGACACTCTTCAAGGTCTTTCATTACTTCACATTCCCATACTGCAATTGTCCAAATTCCGGCTTCCTTCAACAAGCGAATACGTTCATCAAGTTTATCTTTATTATAAAGCGCAGTCTTTCCATTTAGACAAACTTCATGAGGGCGATATAAACTAAAAAATAATTTATTTGAAATAGAATGTTAATTACCATTCATGTCCGTGCCAGGCACATCCAAGGAATTCAATTGCTTGGTCCCATCCGCCATGAGTGCTTTTGATATACCCATCCAGTCGTAAAAGGCTTCCATCAGAAACCCGTACCCTTTTTTCTCCTTCCGGGCTTTGTTGATGTTGAATTTGAAGCTCTGTTTTGTGAGAAAGCCAGTGAAGATATTTTAAAGCGATTGCTGATTGGTTTGTATCTTTATGATATCCATTATCGGGAATAATACCCATTTGGTCCTTTTTCAAATAGTTTATACCTTAAAAATTTTTAATTAAAAATAATTTTCATACTCACAGAAATGACGAATACACGCGCTAGCAATTGTCATTGAATTAACAAGCACGTTATCGCGCTTGGAAGGTTCCTTAGCTAGTTCCAAGAAAAGGCGTTGAAGCTTTACGAGAGCATAAGCTAGAATACGCACATCTTGCTCACAATATTCGACAATTTGTTCACGAAGGCAAAACGCTTGATTTTTATTGTTGTTATACCATTCTTCAAATTTGCTCCTCCTTTCTTTTCCCATAGATTCGGGGTAATAATATTGTTTATCAGGTAATCCTTCAAGACGAACATTCATATTCTTATTAAAATTCCAACCATGAGGAAAAAATGACTTTCCCCCTTCATCAATTTCGAGCGCCAGTGCTTTAGGTAGTTGTTCCAATTTAAGCATCGTCCAGTTGAATGAGTCACGGAACGAAATATAAGGAAATCGTCGCCGTTGTTTCTTAACCAAAACTTCATAAAGTTTGTTTCCCGTTCTTGTTATTTTTGGCTCAATTCCAAAATGTTTGATTAATTCTCCTAATAGCAGATGCATATCATATCGGCTGAAATTAATACTGAGAAAATGAAATATAATTAAACAAACCCTCCATAATGAGAAATAGCATATGTTTTCCCTGTTCTCTGATTCCCTAATCCATTAATCAACCAATCCAAAAATTCGCGCAAGGGATTTGAAAAATCTGCAGATGTCCATGTTCTCATTCTAGGCACGTTAATACCACAAGTTTTGCAGAAACCAGTTAACTCATTTCTCCAATTATCATTGCCAATGCATCGAGAACACATCAATAATGCCTAGTTTGTTATATAATTTTATATATATTGAATAAATACCGAGACACAGTTTACATGATGTAATTGGTAATTGTCATCATTTGGAACTGCATTGAGAGGAATCAATGCTTCTTTTTGCAACTGTTGCCACTCTTGCTCATTTCTTGTCGGAGAAATAAGTTCACATTCAAAATCAAAGGGAATCTGTAATGAATAGATTTATTAAAAGTAATCGTAAATACCAATAGATATTCATTAATTACTTTTGGTACAATTGGTTGCACATAACATTTTTCTTCTCGTTTGTGAAACGAACGGCATAGAGTACAAAAAAGCATGAAACAAACATGCCCATTGTTGTTATCATCACTTCCATCTGTAGAATCGCTTTCTGATCGTTGGACGTTAACTTTCTTGGCTCGGTAAATATGTCCGCATTTCTCACACCCAAAAATTTTGTTATTAAATTATATATTTGAATAATACCGTTTAAATATTTTGCAAATTCCTTTCTCCTTGTGTCTGCTATAGCAATCAGGATTTTTAAATATATTTGCACACTGTTCGCATTTGTTTGAATAACCTTTAATTATTTTGCATGGGAAACCAAATCCAACTCCGCAACATCGAGGGCATTTAGCAACACATTTATAACGATGTGCAAACTTTTTTGTGTATGGAGCTTCACAATCAATACAATAATATGAACCAAAGAGCGCATTCAGATTTCTAATTCCATAAAAATGCCTATCCTTCAAGTATAAAGTAATTTCATGTTCAGCCCTTTCTACTCCTTTCCAAATAGGACGCATCCTTCCATACTCGCCGAATACTGAAATTCTATATTTGCCTGGGAAGATGATATCTAATAATTTTTGAATCATTGGAACATATTCTTCAACTAAATATTCTTTTGCATAGAAGGGATAACGAATTCTGTTTTTTAACATTTGATGAAGCATTTCTTTTATCAATAATTCGCGCCTAATTTTAGCATTTTTGTTCTGACCGCTTACAAGCCGTTGGAACTTAACTCTGTCATATGCTGAATTTGTCATATTTACATGTTGTATTTTAAGCTGTACAGCAAGAATAAGACAATGTTTATTTGCTGGGGGATTGAGATTTTCGTTGTGTACCTATTATTAAAATTAATTTTATAATATTTGAAATAAAATACTTGTATAAGGTTGTTTATATCTACTCCTTGGTGAATTTCTTTCGACTTCCTGCCCATTCCTTCATGACCTTTTTTTATTAGTTCAAGAGCCTCATCATGCGAAGGACCTAAAACAATCTAAACAAGAGTTATTTTATTATTAACGAATGATATTCACCTCAATATGTATAGGCTGACTGTACAGTGAAGGCCTCCCCATGCGTTTTCCACTCTGGTCCACGGCATCAAATTGCTCCATAACAACTTGAGGTGTATTTTGGGCAAGGCCTCTATAGGGTATTTGAATGGGCTTTTCCAGAACAGAACTTCTTATTATGATAGAACACTTCTCAGATTTTGAGCCTGTAGCTTTGTCCGCTTTTGCCATAAAATGATCAACCAAATCTTCTAATAGTTTATCACTACCTTCAGGTGCATCATCGACATTCTTCACAGTAAATACAGTTCTAAAATTTTTATATATTCAAGAAAAAATTTATTAAACCTGAAAACACCAATCTTGAATTTTGCGCTTTTGATTTTCTCTGATAAATCTTCATTGTAAAAATGATTGATTGGAAATTCACCAAGATTTCTTTTCATCTATTTTTTAAATTAACACACAAATTAATTATTTAAAATATAACTGCGAAATAAACGCTAAATTAAAAATGAATGAATTTTAGTTTATTTATTCTATCAGAATAATGTTTAATCAAATCACAATAATTTTCACCAATCATCTTCTATTGGCATATCTTCGTTGTTCATAGCAACTTCTGCATGCACCATATTGGTAATCCCAGATGTGCCTTCACCATCATCATTAATGTTAAGCTGCGACTCCACATGTTTTGTAATGTCGTTCATTATAATAACAGGCGAATTATCTAAAATTAAAATTAAAAAGTTACAAAATATAAAACACCTCGTTTCATGTATCTCGCTGCATAACAACAAATATCATTGGCCGTTTCACAATCGATTTGCCCCCAAAATTGGCTATTTGCATTCCCAAGTGCCGTATACAACTCATCCTTTACAACATCGACAATCACCTTGTAAATATTTAATTTAATTTTCAAGTTTTTTAAAATAACTTGTCTTCCCAAAGCATTTCGTTGCTTCAAAAAGTATTCGTGTATGTTGCCAATTGTAATTTGAGGAAATTGCTTTCTGTGATGTTTAATGAATGCTGCATACAAATCCTCTTTCAATTGTTTTTCATCTAATTCAATTCCCATTAACACCTCAAGTTGATGAGCTAATCGGATGCGTTTTTCCTTGAGTGCCTCAATAGCAACTTCAGCCACATGTCGATCCATCTGAAATATTACTTTTGAAATATAAACGAAATTAATCAAACATTTTTCCAAATCCGTGTTGATATTTTCAGCTTAAATATAAGTTAAAAAATGATGAATTGAAAATATAAGCGATAAAACGCCGTTAAAAGAATTCAAAAAATATAGAAAATTTTATTCAACAAAAATAATGTCGTAATTATTTATTTTTAGTGAAGGTGTTGAATAAATTATATGTTTTCTGTTGAATTCTTTGTTTGCAGACAAACATATACGACAAAGCTAAATATTTATATTAATTAGTATTTTACTTCGACTTACAATAAAGTTCAACTCATACTTAGTCCCACGTTTTTGCAAAAATAAGTCGTTTGCCAAAGACTTTTGTAGATGGCTACAATAATCACACTAAATTTGAAAATAGTTTTTTAGTTTTATAAAAATATACCTGATGAAGCATCCAACAAAATTTAAATAAGCTCAAAAGCTTATTATCATTTCCAGTGGCAATACTTGCTCCACGACGCGTGTATAAGACACCCGCAACTAAAAAATAATTATTAAAAAATTTTCACAATTATATACTTTTTTCAAAGCTAGATGTTTGTTGAACAGCATTATCTTTTTTAAATGAATGTCCTTTAAAAAATATTTTTTATTTTTTAAAATAATAATTTACCCCATGGTCCTGAATAATACATCCCTAGCAGAATATTTTTATCCAAATCATCAGCACACACTTCGATTGTCAGTATTGTTAGGGTGGCGTGTTTAGTATAAAAGGCGAAGCCTTTTACTAGTCAGGGAGTCAGTTACCGAGTCAGTCAGTTAGTCAGTCTAAAGCCAACGCATAGTCTCGCCTATTTCTATTGTATTGTTACTTCGTGATAAACCTTGTTAGTCAGTCGTTAGTTAGTCTTTCTGTTAGTATCGGACACACCGCAGGTCGATACATAACAGTGGCGCGGTCGAACAGCTAAACTCGTATAAAATCGAGTAGTCAACCACCAAGTCAAAATGAATTTTGTAAAGACAATTCATGAGTGGTACAAGTCTAAATGCGAAAAGAAAGAAACAGTAGAAATCCTATCAGTCGGAACAGTCCAGAAATTCGATTGGCTAAAAAAAAGTTGTTGTATTAAACGGAGTGAATGTTGAGTTTATTCTTGATTCGGGGGCACAAATTAGTTGTATCACGGAAGATACATGGAAATTAGTCGGAAGCCCAGCCTTGTCAGAAGTCGAATTTTCTGGAAAAAGTTATACAGGTCATGAGTTTACAATTCTTGGGAATTTTGAATGCACAGTCAGACTTAACGAAGTCGAAGAAAAGATGGTAGTTTATGTAACGAAGGCAAAGATGAATCTCTTTGGTCTGCCATGGATAGTCGCATTCGAAAACAAATTAGGATTCCCGATAGTTACAAGTCTAAACAAAGCGGAACCTACAGACATAGTCGGAAAAGAAAATGAAGTATTTATGGTCCATGACAGTAAAAAAAGTATAGAGGAGGAATTGAAAGCGAAATTTAGCCAAGTATTCGGACCAGAGCTAGGCAATTGCAGTAAAATAAAAGCGCATCTCCATTTGAAGAAAGGAGTAAAACCAGTCTTTATTAGAGCAAGACCAGTCCCTCTCGGAGTCAAAAAGTCAGTTGAGGAAGAAATAGATAGATTGTTGAATATTGGTGCAATTAAACCAATCGAATTCGCGGATTGGGCTGCTCCTATTCTGGCAGTCAGAAAACAAAACGGAAAGATCAGAGTCTGTATTGACTATTCAACAGGCTTAAATGAAGCATTAGAATTAAACAAATATCCATTGCCGACTCCGCAAGAAATCTGGTCAGAAATTCACGGTAGCAAAGTATTTTCGCAATTAGATTTACGAGATGCCTATCTTCAAGTCGAATTAGATGAGGCATCTAAGAAATTAACGAATATTAATACCCATCGAGGGTTATTCGAAGTCCAACGATTACCATTCGGAGTAAAGTCAGCGCCAGCGATATTTCAAAAGTTAATGGATGAACTAATTAGCGGTTTGGAAGGGGTATTCGCATATTTAGACGATTTGATAATAGTCTCAAAGAATGAAAAGGAGCATAAAAAGACATTGTTAGAGTTATTCAAAAGAATTCAAAATTATAACCTAAGAATTCAGTTAGAGAAATGTAATTTCTTCAAGTCAGAATTGAAATTCCTGGGTCACATAGTCTCAGAGGAAGGAATAAAACCCGACCCAGAAAAGAAAGCAATCATTCAGAAGTTACCGAGACCCACAGATGTTAAAGAGTTAAAGTCAGTCATGGGCTCGATAAATTATTATTCAAAGTTTGTAAAGGAATTACACCAAATAAGGGGACCATTAGATGAGTTACTCCAAAAGGGTAAAGAATGGAAATGGCAAGATAAGCAAGAAGAAGCATTCAACCGAGTAAAGTCAATTCTAAGTTCGGAGCTTATGCTAACGCATTTTGACCCTCAATATGAAATCATAGTCACGGCAGATGCCTCAAATTATGGAGTAGGAGCAATGATTGCCCATAAATTCCCAGACGGATCAGAAAGAGCAATTGAATATGCAAGCAAGTCATTGACTCAGTCAGAGAAAAATTATGGGCAAATTGAAAAAGAAGGTCTGGCACTAGTATTTGCAGTCCAAAAATTCCACAAAATGTTATTTGGACGCAAATTCAGGCTTAGAACGGACCATAAACCGTTAGTCGCCATATTTGGGAGTAAGAAAGGCATAAAAGTCCAAACTGCCTCAAGATTACAAAGATGGGCATTAATTCTGACAAATTACGATTTCAATATTGAGTTTGTAAGTACAGATAAAATGGGGATGGCAGATAGTCTTTCAAGACTAATAAAGAAAAATAACGACACAGAAGATAAAGTAATTGCCATAGTCGAGGAATTTAACGAAACAGATTCGGGACCTCCCCAAGAAATTAGTCAAGTAGAGGAAACAGTTAAAGAAGTCTTGCATGTTATGTTGGAGGAAATTCCGATAGATAATAGTCGAGTCAAATTCGAAACAGGAAAAGACCAAGTACTGAGTGAAGTTATGAAGAGTATTAGTAACGGCTGGCCAAAGAAAGTCGACAATTCTGAATTGAAATTTTGGTCAGAGAGAAGACAAAATCTACAGATAGTTGAAGGGTGCTTAATGTTTGCAAACAAAGTAGTCATTCCGAAATCATTAAGAAAAGAAATTCTAGAGACATTACATGAAACCCATTCAGGGATAGTCAGAATGAAAAACTTGGCAAGAGAATATATTTATTGGCCAGGATTAAGTCAAGAGATCGAAACATTAGCAGTAAATTGCCAGGCATGCCAAGAAGCAGCAAAGATGCCAGTCAAAGTCGAATTAAGTCCGTGGCCAGTACCAAGTAAAGTTTGGGAAAGAATTCATCTTGATTTTGCAGGTCCATGTAAGGACGGAAAAACATATTTGATTTTGATTGACGCATATTCAAAGTGGCCTGAAATATTCGGTAATACCACAACCAGCGCAAAAGAGACTCTAAAGCATTTAGATTGGACTTTTAACCGTTATGGGTTTCCAAAAACCATAGTCTCAGACAACGGCAGTCCATTCCAATCATATGAATTTAAAAGTTATTGTAGAAGTAAGGGAATAAGTCAAATATTCAGTCCACCTTATCACCCACAGTCAAACGGACAAGTCGAGAGATTTGTGGATTATTTCAAAAGAATGATGATGAAAAATTGGGGAAAACCCAAATGGGTTGAGGAAGTTTTATTCAATTATAGAGCCACGCCTCATGAGTCATTAATGGGCAAATCACCTGCAGAAGAATTCTTAGGTAGAAAGTTAAGAACAAAATTGGCATTAGTCTATCCAGAGAGGCCAAATTCAAATGATTCTGGTAGGGAGCGAATTCGAAGTAGGATGAAGACATGGTTTGACAACCATCACGGAGCTCGAGTCAGAAAATTCAAAATAGGAGATAAAGTCCAGTTTGCAAATTATAGCAAAAATAAAAATAAAGACTGGCTAGTCGGAACTATAGTAGCTCAAAAAGGCGTCGTAATCAAGATTCAGTCTGAAAGATTAAGAGCTATAGTCACAAGACATATTAATCAGATAAGATCTGTAAGTCCATTGAGTTTAAACCAAGGCGAAGTACAACAGTCTGTAAACACTTGGGTGAGAAATTCGGAGCAAAATAATATTCAGAATCCACCACAAGTTAGTCCAATAAGAAATGTAATAAGTCCAATAAGAAATATTCAAATTCGACAAAGGAATATGTCAAGTCCGAGAGAACTAGGGAAAAGAATAATTAGACCGACAAAAAGATTAGTAGTAGAAAACACAAAGTCGAAGTATTACAGAGAAGAACCGATTCGAATTGGCATAAATTATATAGCGCAGTCAGATAACAGCAAGGGAAACCAACAGATGAGCCAATGCACGCGAGCACGGAGACGGGAGATGTGCGGAAATAGATGAGATGTAAATAAATAAATGTGTGATAATATTGTTATTGTAAAATTTTGTTTGTAATTATTGTATCTCCCCCCTTTGTTGCTCACTTTGTATTTTAGCCCTTTGTATTTTCAATGTTTTGTTTGTGTTGGCTAGTAGTTTTGTAAGCCCACCAAGTCTAGTCGGAAAAGTCGGAAACATAGTCCCGACTTAATTAAAGAAGGGAGGTGTTAGGGTGGCGTGTTTAGTATAAAAGGCGAAGCCTTTTACTAGTCAGGGAGTCAGTTACCGAGTCAGTCAGTTAGTCAGTCTAAAGCCAACGCATAGTCTCGCCTATTTCTATTGTATTGTTACTTCGTGATAAACCTTGTTAGTCAGTCGTTAGTTAGTCTTTCTGTTAGTATCGGACACACCGCAGGTCGATACATAACAAGTATAGCATTATCTGAACTTCCAGAATTGAACAAAAAGTATTCTCTCTTCTTTTGATCTTCGCGACATTCATTACATTGGTGTATGAACAGTCCTTTGCGTGGCTCCTTGAGAATTTGTGCACGGTTGAGTACACCCTCTGGCACTAAACTCATTGCACGTTGTTGACCTGAAACTTTTATTTATAAAATAAATGTTTACAAACGCTCAGATTTCATTTTCTTGTACTCTTCCTCATTATCGCCTAAATCAACGATTTCATTGGGGTCTGGATTGTCAGAATCATCCTCTTCATCGTCGTAGTCCATCATTGCTTCATTCTCAATATTCTCTTCATTTTTGTTATGTTGAACATTTGACTTAATTATAAAATATTAAAACAATTATTAAAATTTACCTTAATCCCCGCATCAAAAGGAACGGCTCTTCCTTGTAGCTTTTTTGTTGATGCAGGCTTAGAGATAGTATTACTTGCTTTTGCAATTGAGCGCTTACGTCGTGCTTCAGCTGCTTCTTTCTTCTTTCGCTGTTTAATTATAAAAGCTCGAACATCTTCAAGTTCAGAACCCGATATAGCTAAAAACTTTTGTTAATTTAATTTAGAAACATAAAAAAATACCTTCTATAGGTTTTATTTCCGTAAGCACTTTTTCATTAATTCCCTCCTTATCAATCGATTCTTCCATTGCTTCTGTAAATGATAAGGATGCCATATATAATTAGCATTTAGCAAGTTTATCATTTACCTTTATTGTTTGCTCGAGAGTTTTCCATTTTCCAGCAAGTAATAAAAAGCTATTACAA